CGGCTCCACTGCAGTTAAAGCAGGCGAGGTCGGATGGTGAGTGACAGTGTGAGGAAGGGAGGAAGGGAGGGAGGGAGGGATAGAAGGGAGAAGTGGGTAGTCAACGCAAGTATTGAGGTGAGTTATAGCGATAAAGTGGCAAAAAGCATGCGCTGTGTGCTGTTAGTGGAGAGGAGAGGTAAAATGCAATGCGATGGAAGCAGTAAGGAGTGAAGTCTACAAAGCAGAAGTGCACTGAAGTTGGAGTGAATGTGTGGACAAAGGCGGTTCTAGTGGATGAGAGGTACATTCGAAGTCCTAGTGCCGTTTGTCCCCTTCCCAAGTGAGCACTTCGGCGGGTGACACAGCCACCGCACTCTTTACACCACACCATGCTGATTGTAGACTTCTGCTGCCACAATCACGTTGACACCCCATGAAGTGGTGTGGATGCTGTCGATGGCCTTGAAAGACCCACCTTTTAAGTTGCACAGTAACCAGAGTGTTACGCCTCACCGCTCTACTGACGCCATTTCTGTGTGCTGCCAACGAGAACAGTCACTGAGAGAAGCAAGCGAGATGCGCAGCCTGAGCTGCCACACTTTGCGGTAAAAGTGAATGGAGAAATGGATGCCAACTCTTCACCTCTTGCAACGCACGTCCCCTCGTTTGCATCGGATGGAGACGTTATGCTCTAGGAATGCGAAAGCCACAACGACACCGCCTCTTGTGTTGGAATTGGCATTATTGTAGATCAAACGGGTGGCATCGATGACACATGAGGTGACTTGTTGTAAGCACTCGCTCTTGACCACTGCAACAGTTTCGGCTATCTTCAATTCTGCCTCAATTCTGCAGTAAGAATAGTGTAAAACTGAAGTGGATGGCGACCACCAACCAAATGCCTCTTCATCTCCTACTCTTTCGCCTCATCCTTCTTCCCTTTTCCTCCTGCTCCTCCTACGCGTCCTCAACCACTCTCCTCTACTAGTCCCTTCCTTCTAGCCCCACCCCAAATTCACGATCTCGGTGGCTGCGAGCTTCACGCAGTGCAGGTAACACGGTCGGCGTGGTACGGAAGGCGGAAAAAGTACCTCACCAACGTTTGTGGATCGCCTTGGCATCAATCTCAAGCAGTCGTTTGAAGTGACCGTCCCACTGAGAAGTGGTCGTGCGGACTAATAGTTTGCACGTTCCATCTCCCTCTGAGAAGCAGTGCGGTGGCGCATTCCTTGACACAGTCCTCACACTCATGTCCCTGCTGACAACGAGAAAATGTGACTGATGCAACTTGCCATGCCTAACTCACTCCAAACCACATTGGAATAAGCATTCCTTGCAAAGAAGGTGCTAGAAGCAGTCAGCCTTGTTATCAGGCCTCAGGTGTGCACGATAGACAAAGAGGCGAACGAACACAGCCAACGCATAGAACAGCTTCAGTCGGTTCAATGACCGCAGACCCACCTTCCACACCACACGTCGCAGAAATGAGGCGCCAACGAAGGACGACTCAAGAGACCTTGACTCTGACGCAATTGCTCTCCTCTGTCATTTCAACTGAAAAATCCGAGACCGTCATTCGCTGCCATTCTGACGAGAATGCGGTGGTGCATACAATTCGTGGAGACAGAAACTCGAGAGTCCATGCAGGATCAACAGCTTGACGAGATAGAAATCTTCTGCCAGCTCGGAGTAGTAAAGACAGGCATCAAATCGTTCGATGGTTGAGATCAATCCAGCTTCATGATTGGCCCAAGATTTGAAATGCACACCATGTCTACGTCGATGCATCATTTTCCTTGCAGGTTGATGCACCCAGTTAATAATGGCATTTTAGTTTGTGGAGTCAGCATCTGTTCGTCGATGGAAAGGTTGCCAGAGAGGATTTGCTTCCACTATTGGTCCACCTCCTGGTAGCCGGCCATGAAGTTCCGCATCCTGCAGTGTGTGACCCCTCCTACTGATGCGGCAGACACCGACTTTGGAGTCAGTCCTACTCAACTCGACATCGTGCATTTCATGCTTCGCCTCGCAATGTTGCATTTTAAGGCCACGCAGTCCGAATGATGTTTCTTTGGGCAACTGATCCTCACCATAGTCCACACATCCAACTGCATACCCATGAGACGCTGGTCTAGGAGTGACGCATGCACAGCAGTGTTGCCAAGTCATCTGCGAAGTTACAGTCGGAGGAGGAGGAAGAGGCCAGAGGACGCGCATCGTCGAGGTGCACAACAAGTCTAGGCGAGGCAGACATGATACTATCACATGTGTTACAATCCTCCATTGATTGAAAACGAGCCATGCGACGTGCGAATTGAGGAGCGTCGCAGAGACCTGTTTGAGGCTTTTCGCTGTGAACCACTGCAGCTGTCAAATGTGATACCACATTGGCGGCAATTAAAATACTTATCAGAGACTGGATTCACTATGCCAAAGCAATTTAACATGAAGACAAGTCAAACATGTGAGGGAGGTGTATGATTGAGTGAGGGAGGGTGTCGGGAGCGCAAAGAGGGCGACGCATCTACCAATGAATTCACAACGCCACGGCTACTACGGATGTACACATCTTATTGCTTCGTCCCTTGGTTCGGTTCTTAAACGTGCCACTGAATTGCGCTGGCCAATTGGATTGACTGCCACAGCAGCCACCGTCGCACGACTGGCTGAAGACAGTGGGCATTACCTCGTATTTCGTCATGCCTGCTTACGACATGGTTGGCAAGGCGTGCGCCACATATAACGTGGTTGCACATGCTTTTGCTTCACAAAGTCAGCATCTATGTGGTGCCACAATCAGCACACTTCATCATGCTGACACTCACCCAGGGTAACGAACTGCCTGTCATCGTGGGTCTTATGAATGCTTCCACTGATGTCTGCCTGTTCGGCGGCATTAGTCAAAGGAGAAGCAAAGGCTGCCGCAGGGTGGACGAGAGGAAGGTGCAAGGCAGAAGGTGGCATACCACCCGCAGAGTAATGGCACTACTTCCTGCTCTTCTTTCAGAAGTGGTCATAAGGCAGTTGTGCGGGGAAGAGGCCTTGCCCCTTTAGCCCTCTTACGACCTATCGAAATTCTGCCTTCCAGTGCTGCAATTGTCCAGCACACCTTGCACGCCCGCATACATGCTTGCTTGAGGTGGCTTTTCAGCGGAGAGAAGTGCAGTGGAGCAAAGGCTGAGGGTGCGGGATTGCAGACCAAACGTGCACAAACTGAATGTGCTCAATAGTCGATGCTTTGTGATTTCCTGACGTCCTCCCACCCTCGTCTTGTCACTTGCAACAGTCAGGCTTATCTGCCTTGCAGGGAGGATCAGGCAGTGCGCTTCTTCCTTCACCCACCCGTTGGCAGTGTTTTCCTCCCCTCCACACATTTTACTCCCCTCCATCTCACTCCTCACGCACCGAAACCTATCACTGTGCTCCATCGCATTCCCCATTCCGCGAGTCTTGCCTTGTGGTTCCCGTGAAGTAGGGCGTGGGACATTCTGCCTCAGGCTTGAGAAGCCAAGCCGCATCCCACCAGTGGCACGAATTGGTCTTGCTTAATGACGCAGTGACTGCTTTCGTGCTGGCAGAATACTCAGAGGCACAGTTCACTGTTTAGCT